TGGATCTAAATATGTTCGATTGATGTGTTTTATTTTTCAGATGTCTTGACATGTTTTTTTTATTATTATTGACTTTTCTTCATTTTTTTTAATTTGACGGTTAGAGTTTGAATTTATAAAATATTTTTCGTGGTTATTAACTGAACCGAATTGAACCGAGATATTAACCGAGCCGAACCGAACCGACTTTCGTGGTTATGGTGCGGTTATGGTATGGCCAAAAATTTGGTGGTACGGTTATGGTTTTGGCTGAATCGACCCCGAACCGAACCGTTGCCATCCATAAAACACATGATATGGATATCTTGAAGGTTGTTCTATTAGTTGAAGCAAATCACTTCTTAAATTTGACATCAGGTCTCTTTGAGTTATAGTTTTTAGCACTCAAACAAGGATTCTTACGAGTAACATTGTTGGAAAAGCTTTTGAGAACAATCACGATTTGTAATGACACGATTATACTCCCATGTTCCATGTATTCATGTTTTTTTAGTGGCATGTTTTAGTATGTTGAATTGGACTAGATAGAAGTTGTGTTGCATGTATTTTTTTGGTAGTCCTATTATACCGGGTGAGCCTGAGGAAAAGGAAATAGAATAATTTATGGTATGTAAACAAAATTAATATGTTGTAAAATGACATGTTGCTTTCGACCGTACAACCTTCTTATAACTCTTTCGAAATCTTAGGCTTTATTTGGGAGAGATTTTCACTTGAAAAAAAAAAACTTAGAAAAATGGTAATAACTTATAAATACAAATTTTGAGTAGAAAAAGTCCATTAGCTATTGGTTCCTAAATTTCTTCTTGTTTAAGGTAAGTAAATGCTACAAGAAATAGACAGGTGTTGTCAAGTCGACAACCTCACATCTATCACATTGGACAAAAGTTGCCAAAAATAGATAGGATGTGGTTAAGTTCAATTCGTTTATTTTAGCTTAATTTTTATTGTTCTTTAATTTTGTTTCGGTTAATCACATTTTAATTAATTTCAATGGAATAATTAGATTTTAATTTAATTTCAATTGAATAATTATATTTTAATTTCATTTCAATGGAATAATTTCATCTCTTGAATTTAACCAAATAAATAATGATCATCACCCGAAAGTACAATTTTACTAAAGTAAATTACCATCATTATTTACCAATTATCACATCATCGATTATTGTTAATTGCTCATATAAAATAAATCTATACTTAGGTTATATTTGAGCTCCATTTTTATGAAGAATGAATTTTATAATATTAATTTTTTTTTTAAAAAAGAGGTTAAAACGTAAGGAAGATTGTTGGATATACGTTCAAAATTATTTGAGAATATGTAGTTGAAAATAATTTTTTTTTAATGAACTTTTAGATAATGAGACTCGAACACAATTTAATGAATAAACGATTTTATTAATTATCAATATGGATTAACTACATTTTTAATTATTCGCTCCCGGTTTGGTTTAAATAAAAAAATTTGATAAAATTTATATAATATATGGTTTGTAAATATTATGAAATATATATTAAAATTAATTATTTTAAAGTCGGATTATCGATAATTAATCGGTTTCCTATTAGAAATAAATTCATATTTCAATTTCACGAAAGTTAGAAAACGACGTGTTTTTATACACGCACTCCCCCAGCATAGACCTCCTCACACAATCTCCACTGAGAATGATCCTGAAAACCACCATCCCCACCGCCATAACCACCCTCTCCATCCTTTCTTCCATATCCAAACCCTCATTTTCCTTTCCCAAATTACCCTCACCCACATCCTTTAATTCCTTCTACACCACTAAACGCCCCTCTATTCTTTTTACCTCCTCAAAAATGAGCTGGCTTAACAAACTCGGATTCGGTGTGCGCAACCCCACTGACTCCCCCGTGGATTCCTCTTCCGATTCTTCAATGGCAAAGGGACCTGACGACGACGTACCTGCTCCAGGTCAGATGTTCGCGCAATTCGGGGCAGGTTGCTTCTGGGGCGTGGAATTGGCCTTTCAGAGGGTGCCGGGTGTTACCAAGACTGAAGCGGGATACTCCCAGGGGTACTTGCACAATCCCACCTACCAGGATGTTTGTTCCGGTACCACGAACCATTCGGAGGTGGTTAGGGTCCAGTATGATCCGAAGGAGTGTAGTTATGAGACTCTGCTTGATGTTTTCTGGGCGAGACATGATCCTACAACTCTTAATCGCCAGGTGACTCTTGAATTTTGGAGTTTTCTTTTCTATGAAAGAGTCTATTTGATGTTTCAAAATTTGGTTGACTTTTGATGGAAATTTCCTGAAGGAAGATTAATAGAGAATTCCTACTCATAATTATTACTCGTCAACCCCATATTGCTAGTTTTAATTGTTTCGCTTCAAATATTTCATAAATAACTGATTAGCAAAGTAGAAAAGTAAATTACGATGTTTTCAGCGATAAACAAAAATATAGTCACTCTTTCCAAAACGAATATCCTGTTTTTGGCTCTACCCTCTATTTGTATTTTATAATCATTGAGTTTTTTTTTTTTTTTTTTGTTTTTTGCCAAATGGAAAAGGTGTGCAAGAAAATTGTTGTTGAAATTTTTTGATAGACATTGAAGTGAACTGTGCCTTCCACTATTTATTTGCAGTGAACAGAGTCTTATTTTGCTGTCTGTCTCATCGAATAAATCTAGGGCAATGGAATTGAGGCCTCAAAGTTTAACCAATTCAACAAGTTTCTCGATTTCATGGCCACAATTCCATGCCTCCAAATGTAGCATTAGTAATTTTTTTGGTTTTCATTTCATGGTAATATAATCAGATGAGGATGCCGGAGGGCCCAAGTGGACCCATTATTCTTGTTTCATGTCTCATCAGTGTACAAAATTTCCAATTCCAAGACATACAATTTTTTAGATGTGGATATTCCCTTAGATTTGGAAGTTACTTGTATGAGTAATGGATACTTATAAAGTAAAACTCCATTAAAAGTGGGAATGTGGAGCAGTCTTAGCCTATGTTTGGGAAATGCTTATGAACTCTTTGTCAAACCACTTTTTATCCACACATTCCATAAGATCCACAAGTACTATCTGCTTTTCTGTACATTTATAAGCACTACTGCTTAAACACTTCCGAAACATACTATTAGTTATTAGAATCTTGTTTGATGGTTTAATTAGCGTGCATTGACCCTATCACTGTGCACTTCTTTTTATATTCACCTGGGCTGCACTTGTTGAGTGATTTTCCAATATTCGGAACTCCGAATATTCAAGCCAGTCAGCAAGCCCAGGTTTTTTGGGTAGCAGGACTGTAACACCATAACTTAGAGCTAAGGTAACATCTCTTCTTTCTACTCTTGGAATAAGGCAATTCAGTGAACTAGATTCCCCATCTACATTTATCTAGAATTAGAACCCACTTTCTCATTACAAAATGAATTTAGTTTTCAGTCAATAATTTAGCATCTAATACATAATATTGATATTATTGCATTATGTTTATTTGAACCATGCCATCATCATCGGAGTTGGGATTACTTCAGTAATTGCTGCTTCTATCGATGTTTCATATTTATTTGGTGTTTATTCTTGCACTTGTTATGGCCTTGTAGATGTTGAAATCTGCATTTGCCTTAATTGTCTGACCATTTGATTATTTTCTTTTATGGACAAAAGGACTCTACCTCCTTGTGGTTTTCAAATGTGTTGATTCCTTGTTGGTTTCAAAGGGAGCTATATAGCCCCTTTGGTTTTCAACATCTAAATTTTTTCTGTCGGATCACGTGATTTCTCACAATTACATTAATCTACTTTCAACCAACCCTTTCAACCATTTTAATATATTGTTTTTCAGTGTCCTTTTTTCAACCCTTTCACATTTTACTGATGGACACGTTCATAGATGCTTCAACTCTTATCCCCCTCATGATATGTCTGCAAACATTTGCTTCTTTTCATTGTTGACAATCAATCAAATTCCTACTAGGAATGTGGCAAAAACATCAACTAATTTCACACACACTGCTCATTATTTCAACTTAATAATGAGCGAGCATGATGTTGAATTTGAGGCTCCAATCTTTGATTTCCCGGGCTCAGTCTACACCAAAACGACACCACAATGACAACCAACCTCCAAACTAGAACCACCACTACTTGGTTGCTTCCAAGATGCCACAAAAGGCTGAGTGTGCGTGATATTTGGCAGCCCTAAACTCGCCACTAAGGCTAAAAGAAGAAGGAGGAGAAGATAGCACAAAGCAAGAGGAAGTACAAAGCAAATCCCTCTATAAGAGAAGAAGGAGGAGAAGATAGCACAATCCCTCCTCTAACTCACGGCTCCAACATTCAATTTCACACTAGGTCAAGATACTAGAAAACCGACCCACTTTAAGCCAAGATAAGTGGGCTTTAAGGTCAAACAAAAGGGGCCCAATAGATAACAAGAAGTGGGCTTTTCAACCCTAAAGCCATCCAAAGTAATGGGTCGGGCCATGTGCAACACTAATTAGATTAGACTACTTCAAACGGCCCACTTAGGTTGTCGGAGTGGTTCGTTCATTGTGGTGTCGACATTTCACTTCAATCATCGGCCGAGGCCTATGAAGTATAATCCAACAAAACCGGCTTAACATCATCGCCCGGATTTATTGGGTATCAAAAAACCCAACACATGAGAACTAAGGGAGCCAGATGAGGTTCGATTTATTGCTCATATTATTATATTCACAGTTAAGGATTGACAAGAGTGAGGTCAGTTATAGGGAAAACTACATTTGGCGATACATTTGGAAACCACTAGGAAAAAAGTGCCTTATGCTTTTGCTTTTAAGCGATGCATATTAATGGCTCTCTTATGCGTTTTACAGGGGAATGATGTGGGAACTCAATATAGATCCGGAATTTACTTCTACACACCTGAACGAGAGAAGGAAGCACTTGAGTCGAGGGATAAACAGCAGAAGCTTTTGAACAGGAAGATCATAACTGAGATTCTACTTGCCAAGAAATTTTATAGTGCCGAAGAGTATCACCAACAATATCTCGAAAATGGTGGACGGTTTGGTTCCAAACAATCGGCTGACAAAGGTTGCAATGATCCCATTCGGTGCTATGGCTAGTGTTTCCTATTTTTGTACTGAACAATGTTGTCAACAGATTGAATTTGTACCTCCTGAATAAATTTTTTCTTTTACATCGTGTATCGTTGATATATGAAAGTTCTTAGGATGGATCACTCATGAATGTAATATTAGTACTAAGATCTTAATTTAGATGGTTGCAGTTCTGGGAATTTTTCTGGCTACCCGGTTTGTTGCTTAACTGGATGCATGTTACCTAATCGTCTCATGGGAAGTGTGTGTGTTTTCCATGTTCAATTTACGACGACGTGGTGTGATGCTGAGAAATTCCTGGCTGGGTTCGACAACTGAGCTTCCACATTTTTCGTTCTGCACGTCATCTTAATCCAGTTTAAAAGGAAAAGGGAAGTATGTTGCGTTTTGTTCATACTATGCTAGTATTTAGAAGAGATATCTGTATAGTCAGTTGCTTCTTTGGAATTCGTTCTTCAGAAAAATGGCTTCTTATATTGTTACGAAACCGGGTTTGGGTAACTTTTGACATTTGTGATAAAAATTTTTTTATACATGTACCAACCAAACTGTCAAAAATTGAGTGGCATATTCAAAATTGAACTCTAAGAGAAAGAGAAGCACGCAAATGATTGGATATGCAATCATGAATCGAACCAGTTTGATACATTCAATTGTGAGAATTGTGAGATGGACAAAGTTCAAATGCTAATAGCTTCACTAAGCAGATCAAACTTTGGGTGCTTCGCTCGTCAAATTTGACTTTTGATTATATCAGTAAAGCGCTAGCATTCATATCAAGCTCCCATCATGATCATCAACCCAAATGACAAAATTATTTGGCGAATAATCAAACGAGATTATGGATTAACTGAAGTGCTGATTGTTGTTGATGTGTTGGCCCATCTTCATTAATGTAGTAATGATCAAGATTTGAAGATGGTGGGAAGTGTAGAGGAGGAGAGTGTTGCAGGATCTCTCTTTGAATATAACAGCAATATGTATGGAATGTTTGGGGTGTAACATTTAATTGGAACCCTAATCCAAACAAGAAATCCACTTCAAGAAGGTTCATTTCTTCTGTGCTGATTCCTCCTACTTTGGCATAGTATGCATTGTTGTAAAATCTGCAAGAAAAAAAAAATTAAGATTACCAATTGATCATACGTTAGATTTGTTGGTCTAGTTTGATTCAATTGAGTCATTCACTCAAACTACGTTAGCTTGCCTAACTCTTTTCGTTTGTCAAGCTAGCAAAGTTAGATAAAATGACTTGACAGTGACTCAATTAATATGAAATGAAGTTCATTAGTCACCTAAAATAAAAGTTCAATGGCCCAATAATTATAGTAACAAAATTCATACATAGCCAAATTATGATTGATAGATTAGGATTGAACGCCAACTAATGTAATATTCATTTCTTGAAATAGAAGACATGGTGATATAAGGAGAGGAAGAAATAGACTAGCGGCCAACCACTATCATTATGTACTTATTTTGACTTTCCCTACTTCTCTGTGAGGCATGTTAAACTTGATAATAATTTTTCAAGAATCGGTCGAGAAAGCTACACACACACACATATAGAATAAATCTAAGTGTACAACATTGGTTGACAACAATTGTTGACAATCATGTGTTGTCCAAATCCTAGTATATAATGTAGAAAATAGTTTTTTAAAATGGATGGATGTGATGATGTCAAATAGGATGTTGTCAACTAATATTGTCAACCAATATTGTACATGTAGCATGATTCATATACATATATATATATATANTTGGCTTCGAAAATTCGTATGAATTTAATTCTCAAAGAACGAGAGATACAAGAATTATTCTGGAGAGGTGTCTTATACTATGTATACATTTATGTGTCATATGCTTTAAATTTTGGACATTGTTCCACCCAGACAAGGGACACCAAATTTTAGGTGTCTTTGTCTAGGGGAACGTGACTTGAGTTTCACGCAATTAGCTAAGCATAAGAAAAATTTCACGTCTTTCAAAATTTGTTTTGTTTTAAAACACCAGCCTTGAATGACACATTTTACATAAATTTATTTAAATTAATTTTTTTTTGGTTTTTTACTTTTAAAATTTAGTTTGACCTCATTCAACGCAGATCAGAAATCTGAGGGGAGTTGACCAGTTTAGGAACAAGGGCACATAATTTAGTTTGGGGAAGTGGAGTGGAGCATTTTTTGCCCAAACGTGAGAAACTCAACACATAAAAAAGAATTTAAAATAAATAAATAATTTAGCTTGAAAATAGAAAATATTTTTTTACTGGAATTACAAAACTTGGTCCCACCACTGGAAAAAAAGGGAAAAAAATCATAAACAAGGAAACGACGACGATGCAACTATAACATCACTATCAATTGATATGAATAGATAAATTCTATGCTAAATTGAGTTGCATTCGACTCGAGAAAACTCGAATAGTGAAAGTGACTCATTTAAGAAAATTCTTCGAGGCGCCATGCATGGGGTCTCGGAATCTAGTAGGATCAAGCGAAAAGCATAAAAATTCCTACATAACATTCGAAGAGTTGTAGTACTTACAAGAAACGATTTTTTTTTAACTTCTTTTTATTCTTTAATCCTATTAACAATATTGTCTTAAAATTAGTGAATCAAGGGATCAAAAAATGAAAAGAAGCAGTCTTTTTAACAAAAATACTAATTTTTATCAAATTTTAGGAGAGTAAAGCATTAGGAAAAAAACTTACATATCATCCATAAACTTTGCAGAAACCAGAACACTTGTAATAAGCAGCCGATGAACATTGAAAGAATTTATGGGCAACAATGGCTGCTTCTTAGCGAATCGGTCGAGATAAATGTATGCTGTGATATAGCAAGAAGGGCTGCAATATGCATACTTGAATATCCTCTGCAAGTAGTCGTTGACAGAAATTGTAGGCCTTGTCAAGCCATGGAAGATAGAGATTTTCTGCGAGTCGAGATGGCGAGAAAAGTCGTTCATTTCAGCTACTCTTTGAAGAAGGGAAGAGAGGAATGTAATGACTTTAGGAATTTCTTGAGAATTCTCAAAGTCTGCCATTGATGGATGCTTTGCTAGCTGATAATAAGTATTTGGTGGTGTTTTAATGGCTATTGTAAGTATGAAAATTGTGTAAGACGAATATGATGTGAAAAGAACTTATGTGTGTTTGTGCACTTATATAGGAATGCGATTGACCCGGAAAATTAATGGGGTTGGGATTGAGCTGGTAATTGCACTGACAATTGTAATTCTATTCCTAATTTCTAGTGACCTTGCATTCTAGTGAGATGGAATTCAGCTAAAAATTAAAATTGAAATTTAAGTCAAAATCAATAATTAATTTTAACAACGTATTTAATGAGACCTATAACTTTTCAATTATACATTCCATTATTTTTTATTTTTTTGTCAAAATTTACTGAAAATCGAATTTTTATCTGAACCAAACCGGACCTTAAATCATTTTTTCCCCTTCCCTTTTAGGATATCGATATAATATATTTGTTCTCACTAATATTCTGTTATGGATCGTGCTACTTGTACAATCAAGGTTGGCAACCACTCACACATGTGATGAGTGGGTGGGTGGGTGGGTAATTTTTTATTTTTTTTTAAAACACATTGAGACCCACCACTGTGAGAGGTTGTCAATCTCGGTTGTACAAGTGGTGTTTCCCTTTTGGTATAGTGAAAGGACGTGATACATATGACATAGATGTTTATATTGCTCTGTTTGGGCCACATTATTTTTTTTATTTTCATTCTTCTACTCATTTTTAACCACACATTTTTCAATAAAATAATATTTTTCATCACATCAATAGTTTTTTCTTCTTTTTCAACCACATATTCCTCATCACATCAACAGTAAAAATTCATTCTTTTTCCAAAAAATGTGCACCAAATGTGGGCTTAAATCTCATTGGGAGCATTCTCTACTAGGAATTAGTTGGATCAAATCTTGAATTTAGTCAAAGTAGGCAATTATTAACTAAGGTGTATCCATAATCAAGATGATGTCTAGAGGTGTTGAAAAAATGATGAGCAGGCACATAATGAAATTGAGGAAAAAGACTGAAGAAGTTGTCTCAGCTTAGAAAAAAATGTTAGTGGTTATACCATAAAATTGAACTTAAGTAAAAGTTTGGTATTGATTTTTCTTAGAAAGGAAGAAAAGGGTGAAAACAGTTGTTTTAATCGGTTACATGCCGTTTCTTTAGCACAAAGTACACTTCAGAACACGATGATCACAATTTAAATATTAAATTAACCAATTTATGGCCAACCACCAAATCGATTTCAAGTGTATCAAATGAAAACGAAAAATGTGAATTAAAAACGTGTTCTTTTATTGGACTTGAATTATATAAATTATTTTTTAATTCGCACGTCGACTAGTGGTAAAAAATTTTTTTGCTTTTATGACGAGTTGGGCATAAATACAATTCCATTTATGAGATGACTGAATATGGCGTTCACACTTACGTTGTAAATAACATTTTACGACATGCAATGCATGCAGTAAAAAAACAAATTTGTTACAGTCTCTATCAACAAGGAATGTGGCCGACCATCCCATAGCCACCCTATTTTCCAATCTATATAAGTAGTGGTGTCATCATCAATCGCGTTATCATGCACCCTACTAAAATGAAATCTCATTTTTCCATAACACACTATCTTAATTGTGAGAATGCAACAAGTACTAAACCATATATACAAGTAGTCAAGTACACACAACTTCTATTGAAGTGTAATACATAGGCGACACTTCAATTACGGGCAACCATAATTTAGTGAGCTTTAGTTACACTCAAACTTTTTCCATAAGCGACAATCAACCATCAATAATTACCTAAATATATATATTTAATGATTAATACATAATATATTTTATGATAATAGTTTTATGTTAGGATGAATTTGGTTAACCACCAAATTAAATATCGGTAATTAAATTCCTTACTTTAATTAATGCTATAATTATTTGGTAACTTATGATTGCGAACAAGAAAATAATAATCACCAAAATGATAATTGATTTTCATAAGAAACCACGTTGCTTGATATCTTGACGATAATACTTAACACACTAAAGCGTACAAAATCACAAATAATAATCTAAGACGATTTGTTTAGAATATTGAATTAATTGAACATAATTTTTATTTTTTTATTTTTTGGGAGAAGAAATATACACGAGAGGTTTCTCTACTACTTAACTATTAGTGTTTTGGAGTCTAACGTGTTAAAGTTATCTTAAAAAATTAAAATATCAATATTTAAAAAAAAATTAATATTGGCCAAATATTTAAAAAAATCCACAACAAACTTCTTTTCGATTACGTCTACTCATATGACCCCAATTACAATTTCGTGCCTCTTTCAAATAGTTGATAGAAGATAAGAATAGCGGTGTAAAATCGAATATTTATTTCTCCATTGAAATTTTTTATTCACGAAGTTGGCACCTTGAAATTAAATCACCAAATGTTGATGAAATATTATTATAAATTAGATTAGGACAAAACAAGATTTTGGTAAAAATATTGATTGGCAATGAATGGCCATCCTCTAACATTATAAAATATTATGAATTGTAATCTTGTATATATATGGTTTAAATGTCTATTAAACATGGATAAGAGGTAAGAATTACAAGTTGGTCCAATAGGATTTTGACACGTTTTATATGTATTATATACATACACTATATAGTGAGAGTGAAAGATGGTTGAGGGAGAAAATCTTAATTTGTGCTACACACGTTAGGAAGGTATGGTTGCATGTTGTTTACTAAATCAAATGGCAGTAAAGAAGTTATATTTCAATTGTTCGGTAGAATATTTTTAGAGATGGCAACGGAATGGATATGTGACAAGTCTCTGTCATTTTCATACCCGATTAAAGCGGGACGCGATGGCAGCGGGGCGGGTGGGTTCGGGGCTGGTGAGGTCCCGTGCCCAATTTATCTCCCAATTTACTTTTTCTTTTTATTATTTTATTTTATTTTTTTATGTCTTTAGTTAATAAATATTATTACTTTTAAACTAATTTGTTAAAAAACAACTTATGTCTATTTAAAAATAATGATAAAAAATTTAAATTTGAAATTAACTTTAAACGGGGTGGGTAGCAGAGCGAGACTATGTTTCCAGTACCTGTCCCATACCCACTTCGGGGTAATGACCTTCGCCTCGTCCCCATCCCGTTTACTTGATTACCCGCCCCATTTAGAGTGGGACTTCGCGGGTATCGAGTTGAACGAATTTTTTTGCGATCCCTAAATATTCATTATGATTATAGGTTTTCCATGTTTTGGAAATAGTTTCTTTTAGATTCATGAAATGAAATATGGAGAGAAGATTCTAGTTCCAGTTTATTCAAAAGAGAAATTCACAAAATGAACCATTTATATAGTTGTCATTAAACTTCCATACCATATTTTATAAATTTATATTTTGCATATTACATTTTGTATAATAACTGCACATTTTATTGAAAATTTACAAATATATCATTATAAGTTAAACAAACAAAATTTATTTAACTTAATGATAAATCACACCCTATTTATTACGTTATATAGTGTTTTGCAACTAATATTTCTATTTATTGATTATTCATTACATGTTTTTAATTTCTTTAAAAGATGCCTTTATTATAAGATTTATTTATCTTATTTTCTAAAACTCTAACGTCAAATCAGTAAAAGTAATTGTAATAAATTGATAGAATAATAAAAATTTAGAAAATACTTAATTTGAGTTTTCCAACATTGTAAAAACAAAAAAAATTCTTAATTGTTATATTCTAATTAACAAAACAATCATGCTATGTTGTCAAGGAGGGTTTGACACCCTCCTTGATGGTACACTCACAATAGGTGGGTGGGTGGGGGGGTGAGGGATGAGATTTTTTGGTATTTTTTATTCACGGAGGTCCTACGGGCATGTGAGTGTAGATCAATCAAGTGAGAAATTTTTTTCTGGCAATTCAGCTTAATTCTTAACAAAATTTGGTAAATGAATAAAAAATGAAAACAATCGATTATATTTAAGTTGTGAGAATTTTACAACTTAAAAAATTGTTAAGAATGCACGAGGAATTTATTTGTAACTATTACGGACAATTTTTTTTTTTT